GAAAACGACGGAAAAACTTTGGGTTTTCTTGTCGGAAAATGTCAGAAAATGCCTGAATAAGGCCGGGTATTCAGAACTTGTTTTCCGAACGGGTGAACGCCATATTTTTTGGCGGTGAGTTTCATTCTATAGAGTTTGAGATATTGAGTTTCTTCGAACCAAAACCAGAGTATCCGCCACGGCACGGAGTAATCATCTGAGCAACGAAAATCATCACAAGGCGTCGATCAGAACTAAAAGTAAAAAACAGTCATAAAAACTGGCTGAAGCGGGGGAAAACACCAATAGGCAAGTTGTGATCGGTAGTTTTGTACCTGCTTTTTGGAGAGGCTTACGCAAGTTTTGTAGTCCAACTATTAAGCGAATTAAAGCGTCACCAAATCAATTTTGGATCATTTTCCAGGCCCAATTTCACACTATTTTACAAGCAATTCTCCCTGGCTCTAAAATGATCACAAAACATCCCAAACGGGCTCCTTTAATGAAGCTTCCCGCTTAAATTAACTTGAATTTTAGGTGTTAATCCAAGAGAGCGGAGAGAGACGCATTATAGCAATAGGTGCAGTGTATGAGGGCTACAACTGTCATTTCATGCCGGGGTGGAAGGAAGGGACTGTCGGTTATCACGCTGATGACGGAAGAATATTTGAACCGAGCTGCAGGCAACAGGGAAAAGAATTTCCTGGTAGGTAATGACGCTCTTAAACTGAATATGTCAATGATTCAGTTTTTAAACTTAAAAGTAGCCTCGCAGAAAATGTCACTTTTTTTTATCACAAGCAGGGTTTGTATACTTATCTCCATCTTAAGGTGAGTCAATCAGTTCAATATCACACTCTTTTTTCGCGATCTTACTGTTGTTGCTGTAGCTGAAAAATGTTCGATTAAAGGAGAAATTTTCAAAAATTGAAGTTAATCTGTCGTTCGACCCTTTCAAACATTTCTAATTAGTGAGAATTTCCTTATCCTGTCAAACCGAAAACGGCATTCCGTTTGACGGCAACCTCCACATTCGGTGAGATGACATTACTTAAAAAATCGATGAAGGCAGAAAATATGAGATACTCGTAGCTGAGAATGAAATTTGTCATCACACTGAGAGTCAAAGGTCGTACTGAGTCATCATTGCGTCCCATTTTTTTCGACAGACGCCATGGCCTACCGCGGTGATCTTATGGCCTGTGAAGTAAATTTTGAGGATGCTGAAAACGACTTAGTTCCTGTAACGTTTTTCAAGAACAGCACAGAGGTGGCACGTACATCATTAAAGTTCATTCCTGATCATACTAAACTGTTCCCCTTCATCGGAATGGGTTACGCTGGAATTCGTGTTCTGGCAAAGGTGCGTTAATTTTCGTTCCGTTTCTGTATGGGTGTATTGAAGGCGCAGTTCAGATTCAACCTTTGAACGCTATACGAAATTGGGGAATGTTATTCGTTTACTGATTATAGATATTCCACTTAACGTCCTCACTTTTTCATGAATAGTCGAGAAAAAGTATTACAATCGTTATCTCTATATATAATCATCGGCGAAAAATCTCGAGAAGTTTATGCGGTGAGGCCTTTTTGATAACCACCTTTATCCCCCTTGTTGCACTATGCACTGCAATGTTTTGAATTTTTGTAAAGGGTGCCCTAATTGTTTGCACATTGCGTAATTAATAATGGTAATTGAACGTAGTGGAGTGCAATTTGGTCTGAAATCATATGTGTGAATTCAGACCAAAATTGCACGACACGAAGTTTGAATACCACTTAATTACATCCATTTTGAAAGTGCAAAATTCACTAAGATGCAGGATTTTGTCTTTGCAAATATTTTGTTGATTCAGTAGTAAGCTGGCTTGTACTAAACTGTAAAAGTTGTTTTTCATTTTCCTGCAATTTGATTGGTTTCTTTAAACAAGCGATTGGTTGTTGTATTTTAATAAAGCCTCTTCCTAAGCTGGGAAAAGGATGCAGTTAGAGCAAAAACTGGCGCGATTCGTGAATAAATCGCACCAATGAGAGCCAATCATATTACGAGGATCATCAGTAATTTCAGAATGGACGTAATTAATTTATTAATTACTCAATCATAGTGCTATCGATTTGGACTATTCTATGTAGATGTGCCCGCGCCATGGTCAACAGGCCCACCGCCCTGCAGATGCTATAAACATACCGAAGGACACGGATGTACAAGAGAAACTTGACATCCTGAGAGAAGAGATGAAAGACATGGAAATGATCAGGAAACAGGAGGTCAAAGAATTGGAGAGCAAACTCCTCTATGAGATCCGACAGTTGACACGTGCAATCAGGGAGAAGAATATTTGATCGAGAAGTCATCATTGTAAAGGATTCCAAATTTTAAATAATGCGGCATAGCAAAGAGTTACTGTGAATTTAGAAAGATGAATTATAGAGGACTACAACACCGTGTTGAAATAATCCTAGGCACTACAGTTTAAGACAGTTTTTGAACAGATTGGGCAAGCACTGCAGTGATTGATGGCGGTAGCCTCACTCAGAGACTTAGCATATTTCAAAAATCCCCCTCTCTCATTATTCACAGTGTTACAAGTCATATACTGGCTGCATCCTAAAGAACCAAGATACCAAACAGTGTGGACAAATTTAAGCCTAAGAAGTTTATAGGCGAGAACTGGTTATCTATTCAATGATGTTGACTATGATATAGGGAACATATATATATATATATAGATCTCATTGGGCGAATACTTATTGTAGTATGATGCTTCAGCGCATAATGTGTAGTTGGCGTAGTTTGGTGTAAAAAATTTGAGCGCTATAGAGCCGGCGAAACAACATCTCGAGGTTTTTCCTTTCAGTGATGTCAAAAAGTCTTAATTCGAGTAGTTCGGAGAATACGTTGACATCGGAAAAAACACCACATTTATTAAAATATGAGAGTAGTCATCATTTTGCAGTAGGCCATCCAGACTATTCTACTATCATAAATTATAAATGGAAATGGTACAGAATAGAGTCAGTGGAGTCCAATTTGGTCTGTAATATATACGTTATACGTTTTCATAAAAAAACAAACAAACAAACAAGCAAACAAACAAGCAAATAAAAACCCAGCAAATTCGGCAAAATGCGCAGGGATAGCGCACACACACACGACGCGTACACTATCTTATTAGTGCTCGTATTGGGCCGGTGATAACGTTCGAGAATTTTGTAATTGTTTTGATTATAACTTTTACCAACAAAAAGTCTAGGTCAAACAACCTGTGTATGATTTGGATAGATCAGTTCCCTCCCCTCTCAGTGGTTTTAGCGCCACGGAGTTCCACATTGAATAATTTAGAATCGGGTTGGTTCTTATCACACCGAGCGTATTTATTGCTTTGATATAGCTGATAACAACCCGAGGTGCTTGTAACAGGAAATTGGACAATTCCAATTAAACAGTTCGGTAGCGAATGATATTTTAGCCGGATCTGTTTATAGCCAATTACTCTTTACAAATGCTACGCAATCAAACGACTGTCAAGTAATCGACTGGGGAGTATTTTTTCCCTCTCTCGTGTGTCATACAATAGGTGATAACCGAGTTCGCAATCTCAACTTACCACGTTAGCGTTACACGCTTAGCTAAACTCAATTTAAGCGACTCATTACCTCCCTAAATTTCACTCCTCTAACCCCGATATAATGACATTTCTAATCATTCGTGTTACTTTAATTCGAATATTCAGTTGTTAAGAATTATTTTCGTTGAAATCTATCTTCGCAGAGAGAGTCGTTGAAAAATGATACGCTTATAGCTATTGTTCGCTGATTTGCGGGTGAGAAGGCCCTATGCACTACCTAAACATTTGCATTTCCATCCCTCGGAGGTCCACTTATCTTGTGCAGATACCCCTGACCACCAATCATAATCACGGTTACGCACCTGTTTTTACTAAAAAAAAATCACAGTTAATCTGCAGTAAGTTTCCAGGAGCTCTATTCAGCTGTCACTCATGGATTAAGAGCACATCAAATCATAAGTTTTCTTAGGCATGAGACCAAAAAAAAAAGAAAACCGTAATTTATCTCTATCGCGTGACCTTTCTCATCCACAAAACACAAAGAGGTTTGCACTGTTCTCGTCCCGTCAAATTGTGACTCACAAAACCCCTTGATGTCAGTTTTTTGGATCATTTCTTTTTAAAGTTGAATAGCAATCTAGAAAGTCAAGGCTAACTTTTACTCTCAACTTGGTTCGGAACTGAACTATTTCGTCAGGAATAGATAAACAATATCTCTTATCAACTAATTGACGAGCTTACTTACGACGGAAACAGACAACAAGACTCAGTTCACTCTGGTTCGGGAGTGAGCTAGGAATAGATAATATCTCTTAATGCCCAATTTTGATAGCTTACTTTGATATGCTCCAACACCGACGGTACACGCAGTGGGATATTCACAAGCTTCCTTCGTAGCTAATTATTCATGTAATATCATCGCATATCTCCCTTAGCACAGAGGAAATACCAAGTTGGAAGTTTTCGTGTTAAAGGTGCTCAGGGCCAAACGCTTCTGTTCCCTCATGCATGATCATGTCAGGGTTAAGGAATTTTGGAGTCTGACAGAAGGGAAGTCAGATTTATAAATTCAAGTGAACCTTTGCCTACGTGACGTACATTGCCCCAATTAGACTCCACTGTTTAAGATCAATGAGACGTTAACAAACAGAAGAGCTTAAATCAAAACAAAAGTAAACACTTAGTTTGCAATTTTGATTTCTAGAAAATTTACCCATAGGCAAGATTCTTTTGCAAAATAGACCGGCACAGAAAATAATTCGCGTCGTGTGTCGTTTATTGCTGAGTGGTTTTCGTGAAGTCAAAATAACTTTATTTAACATTCAAATCTCTGGGTGATTCGCGTGCACCTTTGAAAGGTTACACAACCCAGACTATTTAACATGTAAATTGGATAAGAAACAAAAACACTAAGAGTTGTCTGACAGATGTTTCTGCTGCGATGCAGTTCAATTGAATCTTGCATGCACACAGCTAGCTACAGAAGGATTAATTTTCATTCAATAGCATGGAGGATGAAGTCAATCGCGACAGCACAGAAAAAATTGCTGAAGGCGGCGTCTTTATCAGAGGCATCAGGCCTCTTCAAATTCAACGGCGAAACGCTCGAGTAGTAGTGGGCTTTGTCCTCGTTGCTGTGGTGTTTTTCCTAATTGGTATCTTAATTGGATACTTTGTCACGAAGCCACCAAATAGTGAAAGTTGTTCTAGAAAAGATGCAGACAGTGAGCCTGAGACAAGTGACTTCCAAAAGTTCCACGATTTGTTTAAACAAACGATTAGCACCGAGAAGTTGGAATCTCTGATGAGGTATGAAAAACTGATGATAATTGATCATGCAAATACTTAATGCGAGTCTTCTCACAACGTCAAAGGAGTGAGATGTTATGATTTTGAGCGCCCAGAACATTTATCGTGAATTTTTAAGGCTTGTCATTCCCGATCCGTGTCAATATTTTGCATCGCTAACCATCATAGCTACTTCTTGCTACATTTTTGCCTCGTGTGGAGCTTTTTCATCTGAACAAACTAATATTTTATGATTTCCCTCACAACTGCTGGGGATGACGCGTGCGTTTTTCCTGAACCGAAAACACGTTTTGGATAACGAGTCAAAATCTATAACCCTTTAATGTCTTAACATTCAATTGTATCATCTAGCGGTGCCAAAATAAGTTATAAATGTCTTCAAGTCCTGCGTCAGTTATTTGCGATGGAATATGTGTCTCATTTGCATTGAAGCGATAAACTAATTTGTTTTTAAGTTGACAGCCAGGCAATGACGTCATTAAGTTAAAGTTCACTCTGTCAAACTTTGTTACGTGTAACATTCTTTTAAGTATGCGAGTCACGTGACTGCCAGAAACCATCAAAGGCGCAACAGTGAAGAAACGAAGAGGAAGGAGACAATTTGCGCAGCGTAAAATCATTCGAATTGAATTTTGATATCAGGGCAAACGACAAGTAGATATGAAGGCAGCAAAATGAAGACTTTAAAGTTTTTAAGAGTTTTTCCATGAGGGAACTAGGCAGTCGTGCTGCATGCCATTCCACTTATTTCGATGAAACTTTGCCTAAAACTCTCCTAAACTTCTACCTTAATTAAAACTCAAAATGATAAACTGGGTTCTGTTTAAGTCATTTCCGGTGGGGATATAGACCACCCCCTGGTTTTATTGGGTTTTCTTCACTAATTCAGCTTCAAAATAGACAAAACGTATGAAGCTCTCTTCGTGATTGTATTTAACCTTTCGCTACGAAAGTTCACACACATATCGGTACATCACTGATGAACGCAAGAAACAAGTATCAGTCAGTTTGATTGACAGCCTGTCGATCAGATCGGGCAAGTAAGTGAATGCGTTTTAAGACATTCAAATATTTGATAATTTGAGGTCAAATATCTCACTTTGCCAAAAGCTACAACACTAATTTTGGTGTCCATTTGTCATCTATCATTTAGTCGCTGAGAAAATGTTTAAACGTTTTGAGCTTTTTTGGCCTTAGAGACCAGTTGAGAATTGCATCTGTGACAAGCTCCTTCCAACTCCACCTGTCATACAATTATGGTTGCAAGCGGTGATTAGCTTCTGTAGGAATTCCCGAGTCTAAAAATGCAAACCGTTCGTTTTTAGCTCATTCATGCTGATAGCAATGAATGAGGTATCGCGTTGGAGCAGATGTTGACGGAAGTTGTCGACCGTGGACGGAAGTTGCATTGTGGACCGTGAACTGAAGTAGCTTCGCGTGCTACCCCTCTCCACTTAATGAAAGTCAAAATGAATTTCGATGAAGTTCAGAAACTCGCGGGGAAAGAAATAAAATGTTTATATGGTTAAAAAAATAATAACCTCAAATCACAATTCCGAACTTCTGAAAATGCAACTTGAATCGAGAAGCCGAAATGTTCACACCTAATGGACCCGTAGCGGGTTCATTTCAACACACGCTGTGACCTCGCGACAGAGCATCAAAGGTCGCCATATTGGTAAGCCGCGCATTTGCGTTCGTCTTCAGTAAGTATAAATTAACCATTGCCCTATCATTGTACTTTTCCTTGTGAGCTCTTCAACATACAGTCCACATATCAGTCATAGCGGCCAAGATAGTCTCACTAGAATTTTTTTGCGAGCTCCAGTATTTCGTTCCGGACTTGAGGCTCGTTGGAACAAAAACAGCAATACCAGTCCGGTCAGTACAAAATGCAGACTGCAGACTGCAGCCGGGTACAAAATGCAGACTGCAGACTGGGTACAAAATGCAGACTGAGAATTTATACTGTTTTTTCGTCTGATACGTGATAACATGTCAACTTACCGAGAGTCACGCAATCGCTCTTCCGCGATCATCTTTCGCGATTATTTGCACTATCGTGGAATATTCCTTGCCCGTTTCTTGATCACAGTCGTCCTTAATATGGCTTCAAGCCTTTATATAGTCTTCTTACTTTGCGCGCGAGTTGGTTGGTGAGATGCCGGCACAGAATCTACTAACTTAATAAAAGTAGATGTAGATGGAGATGTAAAGGAGATGTCACTATTAAATATTTATCACGTGCAAACAATTAACAGCTTTGCACGTGGTCCGAACGTTTCATCGTTTTAACCGATATATGTTAATTTTTTTGACAAAAATGCGGACCGAGACCAAAACTGTTCCTTCGACTTGATATATTTTCAACTTTCAGGGGTGTACACACACTGATTATTTTTCCATATGTGCCTTATATTGTTATTGGCTTAGTACATGAGGAACCAGCGAATTTTTATATGGAAAAGCGAAGAGTTGCTTTCGTGACTGGCCATTTGTTTGCTTTTCTAGCGTATTAATCTCTCATGTGTTTGGTGACTACGCAAACACACACACCAACAAAAAGGACACTGTCTGCCTCTGATGACCTCTGCCTAATGACCTCTGCCCATCCTACCGCCAGACCACACAGCCTCTTTGCCAATTCTCATCACGACTAACGCACAAGTTTTCTTTATCACACAACTGCCCAAAAATAAGAGAGAATTTATCTAAAAGTCTTGAAAGTTCACATAAACTGAATTCAACAGTACATATATTCAACAAGTCCAAGAAACAAACTTAAGCCATAACATGAATGAGCTGGCTCCAAGAGCCCTTTGATTATCTTCCAGTCGCCAAATTTGCATTGTCTTCCCCAGGCGTTTCGGGAACTGGGGATGAGAATCGCAAGCCTCCCCTATTTGGTGAAAACCCAATAGAACCAGGGGGCGGTCTATTCCCCCGGAAATAACCTTAACGAAAATTAGTTCATATTTTTAAGTTTAGAATAAACCCTCTAAACTGGCAAAGTTTCATTGAAATTGGAGAGGTGATATGCAGCTCGTCTGCCTGGTGCTTCCATAGACACACTCCTTTTCCCTATTCAGCCTCTTGTTGTTTGCGAGAATTTTAAAATTGTTATGGCGTTTTTTTTTTGTTTTTTTTTTCAAGTTTCACTTATTCTGAAACGTTATCAAGCAAAATTTCCATTAGAAAAGATAATGCAGTCACACAAGCTATGCAGATGCACATGCATGTATGTTACAGCAAGGGAGATTAAAAGTGCGCGAAAAAGTAGTTCTAACTATATCAATAATAATAGTGATATATATGATAATCGTAATAAAACCAGTCATAAGACAGCGTCATTGACAATGACTGTGATGATGATAATTTTGAGGTTTGATGAAAGTTTCCTGACTTGACTCTTCATTCCAGGGACTTTTCAACACAGCCTCACATCGCTGGATCTCCGAGACAGCTGAAGCTTGCAAATACTCTTGCTACAAATTGGAAATCCTATGGTTTCGACAAAGTAGAAAAACCTGAATATAATGTTCTCCTGTCTTTTCCACAACCAAACAAACCGAACAAGGTCACCATAGTAGAAAACGGTACAACAATCTATGAAATAGCAGGACAAATTAAGGTAAATCCATTTCTTCCATTTTTCTTTAGATATTTCCTATTAATTTAATGCACTTTTTTGACATGATAAAAGAAGAATTTCAATTTTCTAACCCTAAGCAGTGCGCCTCCGTTTTTCGTGAATTGAATAATCATTGCTACTGTTCTGGCTTTCAATATCTAGCAGTTATTGTGGCTCGGCTCCATTGTGTTCTACAACGAAATATCTTGTTTTCTGTGCACTTCATTAACCCTCTACATCCTAACATCAGCATGCAGTTTCTCCATACTGTTCTCTATACGTTTCCTAAGGTGTTTACAAGGAAATGTTGTTTGATAATCAAGAGCTATTTTAGTTGGTTATGATTTCCGTTATTCCGGTGGTCTCAATACGTCATTCAAAAGGACTATTGAGGGGACAAATTAGATGTTAGTTACTCTTAGGGGTTTAAGGGTTAACTCATTAAATTGTCTTTAATTCATTCATTCTGGTAGAATTAAGTTCTTAATAGATGGTAACACGCCTTTTTTCTGGACATTTTGGCTGAGCAATATTTGTCTGCCAGTATCTGTGCTGGACTACTGCGACTTAGTGAATCTTCAACTCTTTATGCTTTGGAGAGGTAATAAAAAATTCTTCACTTTAGTAAAATATGTTGCCTTAATACTTTCTAGATATCCCCTGATCCAACCAGCTCTGAGACATTCGATCATTATCCATACCTTGCATATGCACACAGTGGCACTGTTGAAGGTGATCTGGTCTACGTGAACTATGGAAGTGATACAGACTATGAAAAGCTTTCTGAAATGAATATCCCTGTGCGTGGTAAAATTGTCATTATGCGATCCAGAAGTGTAAGTATTTCAGAAACTCCTTTGACCTAACTTTGCCCTTACTCGCTTCAGTATGCTTGTACATGAAAATTGCATAATGTTTCGCAACGATTGGTCTTTTTATACTTTTGGGAAATATCCTCGATAAGGCTAACTTGACGATTCTCTTTTTGATCATACCAAACAAGGAATTTATATCCGTAGTTCGCAACTTTCGGGGCTATTTTTTCGCAGGAAACTACTTTCAAGGTTTGATGCGAACTGAGAATTTTAATCCAAGAAAGTAATCAGTTAGTAAAGAATTTGTTTTCCTGACCTGCTGGCAAGTGAAGCTTTTAGTTACTGCGGTGAAGTTGGTTCATAAACCACCAAAGATAGAGATTTGAAAAGCAGATTGTTCCAGTGCTAGCTCCTCGCTGGGGCAAATTCAAATGAATAACTCCGGAAATGTACGTCAATTTTTTAAAATTTAACTTAGCTGGTTCTTTCGCTGTTATCGAATTCAATTTTTGAAAAGTTAAATTTTTATTCCTTTTTTCCGAAGGATTGCTGTTTATCGTTTGTAACTCAACGGTAGTCCGATATTATTAAGGCAAGGAACATACACGTTTGCATTCTTCAGGTTTCCAATGCTGAAAAACACGGGGCAATAGGAGCGCTGGTATTCCCAGACCCAAGCTTCTCTGCTCAGCAAGGATACGCTCAAGATCAAGTGTACCCTAGTGGATGGTGGCTACCATCAAGCGGGGTGCAGGAGGGTACGATACTTTTTGGCCCCTACAATGGAGATCCCCAAACTCCGGTCCTTCCGTCTATCAAAGGTATACATCGCAAACCTGTTAACGAGAGCGAACTACCAAAAATTCCAGCTCAGACGATATCATATGGAGATGCCATGGAGCTGCTACGAAGATTAGGAGGTAAAGTAGATTTGTTTTGTCAAGCCACCGGTCAACTTGTCGTTTGCATTTTTCGGAAGTCATCGAAACCTTTCCGGAATCAGTGCACTGCCTAAAGAGAAGTATCGCGCGCTGGGATGAGCACACGTTGCTTTAAAAATTGATTACATTACATGAATGAGAATAAGAGACGATCATTACTCCATAACTTGGAGTGGAAGTATCTTAAGAGTGACGTTATATTGATTTCCACGTGTCGCACCCGTAATGTTCTCTTTACTAAACGTTATTCACAATTTCGTAGGATCAGAAGCTCCCGAGTCGTGGCAAGGTGGTTTAAACATCACATACCGCACTGGCCCAGGATTTAATGGCAGCAATGCAAAACTCAGGTTAGAGGTCAACAACAAACCGGAAAACAAGTCAATCTACAACGTGATAGGTACGATATTCGGAAAGGAGGAGCCTGATCGATACGTCATCGTCGGTAACCATCGGGATTCGTGGTCCTTTGGCGCCGTCGATGCCTTAAGCGGAACCACGGTAACGAATGAAGTAGCTCGTGTATTAGGAACACTTTTGAAAAAAGGATGGAGACCGCGACGAACCATCAAGATCTGTAGTTGGGGCGGGGAGGAGTTTAACTTGATTGGATCACAGGAGTGGGTGGAGGAAAATGCTAACATTCTTACTGAGCGTGCTGTAGCATATATCAATTTAGATATTGCCGTTTGCGGGGATTACGTTTTACGAGCAAGGGCGACACCTTTGTTTAAGCAGATAATTCACAAATGGGCTAAGGAGGTCAAGGATCCCAGTAATACCAAAGGCACAAACACGATATACGACATCTGGCTGAAAAGGACTCCTTCAGATACTAATAGCAACCAGCCCATGATTTTTAACCTTTTTTCCGCAAGTGATTACGTACCCTTTTACCAGTACATAGGTGTACCGTGTGGAGATTTTGGTTATTGGTTCGGGTACCCTAACAAGACATCTCTATATCCTGTGTATCACACACAACAAGACACATTTTACTGGATGAAAAAGTTCGTTGATCAAAAATTTGAAATTCATGGAGCCATGACACAGTTTGGAGGAGGAATGACACTGGATTTCGCAGACCAACCTTTGCTGCCATTCGACGTTCAAAATTACGCGCTCGCATTAAACTTTTCATTCCATGTTGTCGCTTCGTCCCTTGACCTCTCAGCCAACGGCATTACTCTTACTGCACTTCGAGACGCTGTATCCGGGTTCATGGACGCCAGTCGGCAATTCGAGGCTAGAAAATCTGACCTTGCGATGCTTCAAAAGACCTCCGAGTTGCGAGTGATGAATGATCAAATGGTGAAAGTGGAGAAGGCCTTCATTTACCCTTACGGCCTGCCTGGTAGAGCTCAAGACCGTCATGTCGCCTTTAATTTTGGTTTCCACAACATCCGCCCATCAAAAGCGACATTTCCCGGTATCACAGAGGCCTTGCATATGGCTAAGAAAAAGGGAGACTGGGATCTAGTTAAGCAACAAGTGTCAATAGCAACCTACTGTGTTCAAAGCGCCACAAAGGTTCTGGAACCTTTAGCAGGTCAATAAAGGCGCTAAACATCCCGGAAAAAAAAACATATTTTCTTTTCATCTGACTACTTTTGATCAGCTATCATGACTCATTTTCCTAAATATCCTCGTTTGCGCTTGTGTCAATAAGAACACAAAAGATACGTTTACACACAAATTACGTTTTACGAAATGGTTGACTTCTACTTTAGTTTTCAAGACTCGTTCAGACCTATTGAACGTCGTAAATTTATATTGATATATTAAGAGGACTGTTCATTGTATCATTGTAAGAGAATGTCAAAAAATTAAACCATTTCAAAGAAGGACAATAATCTAACAACAAGGCGATTTGCACTCAATTTTAATATTTTTTACACCAGATTTAGAATATGTTTGGGAATTGTTGCTGTAGTGGCTCGGCTTTCTTATCAAATTACTACATGAAAATATCGACACCTTTCGGTATATGTTACAAAAACCTAAGTTTGGTTTAAACCAGGAACCTACTCGCTAATTTTTAATTGTTGCTGTAGTAGCTCGGCTTTCTTATCAAATTACTACAAGAAAGTATCGACACCTTTCGGTATATGTTACAAAAACCTAAGTTTGGTTTAAATCAGGAACCTACTCGCTAATTTTTTAACCGTTATCTACGTTTTAGAATTGACCTATGAGGCATTCAGTTTAAAGCTTACTTGTGAAAGTTTATACAGCTCTACAACTTTTACAAAAAGTGTCTAATTAGGGCCAGAAAATTGTTAGGCCGACATTAACCATCGTAAGCAGACACACTTAACTTGAATAGAAATCAGACTCTGGAGTACAAGAGGATGAAGCCCGTTGGCGAGAGACATATCGTAGTGTACACGAATTGACATGCAAACCGACTAAAACCCTTTGCATGAAAATGAAAGAGTTTCATGGGAATAGTTTCGCAAGGTTTTTGCACCTTCTCCCTCCCCTCCCTCATCATCCCTTTACCTAGCATTAATTTACACGTAGACGGCTCTTAATGCAAAGTTTCCTCTGGGCTGCACCCTTCGAGTTGGGACAAAATCACTCAAGAGTAAAACTTCAACAGCTACACGCGCGCAAGACTTAACAAGTCAGTTATGAAGTAGAGGACGCCAACATGAAATATCACACGAAGTACTACTTGTCGATAAAGTTCTGAAATCGTTTTGCTTGGAAGTTGGAAAGGAGACCAATACGCAAAGTCCATGGAAGCTCATTTTACATTCTGTACACCTGTTACTGCTGAATGAAACAAGCAACCAGTGACAAAAGCGAAACAGTTTGGTGATTTACACAAAAAAAGCTGAGCGGTCGTAGGTAACGTGACTGACTAAGAATTTCCCTTGTCCATGGAAGGGATGTGTCACGTAAGAATAAAAAGTACATGTACTTTTAGAGGCAACATTGATAAGAAATCTGCTTCGTTCATCGAAGTGTAACTAAGTGTACATTTACCAAAGAATTAGATTCGGAACTATTATCAACTGAAGGAGAGGTTAGTAGAAGGGTCCACTTCTTCCATTCACATCCTGACTGGGTCTGTACTTGTACCTTGGAGGGTTTTTCCAGGATTCAATCTGTTCATTAATCTGTCCGATGAATAGGTGGGTCATGACAATTCCAGCAACCTGTCACACACAAGAAGAAAAATGTAATCTGTTGAGAGCACTGTGTAGATTCATAAAAAAATCCAAGCATAATCTATGTACGAAACATAACAAAATATACATATAACGCATTCAAATTTCAAAACTTTGATGTCCCTGAATTTTGTAGAAGAGGAGCCTGGATGCTAAAATGTGTCTCAGTTCTTTTCCCTTTTCCATGGATTTTGCAGACGCGAGTCATCAACATCTCACAATTTTTAAAACTTATCTCGCAGAGAGAGGATGAGAATAAGACAAAACCAACCAGTTTGGTGGTCAGACATGGTTTGATGCTACTCTGGGTTAAAGATTTAATGAATTTAACATTGGTAGTGTTATCTTCTTTACACAGCACACACATTATCTTCATTATTGGACTAGGATAAATACAGAGGGTGCGAAGAGAGTTACTAATTAGACCCTGGGAGGTAAAGGTTTATAACTTGTATTCATAAATTAACTCTGCGTGACTAAGCATTATTGAGATTAGCACCAAAACTTGAGATTTTTACCTCAGGGAAGGCAAAAGCCACAGCAACTGCAGCAACAATCACAAGATGATTCCTGAACCATTCCCCCACTGCATCCAGGCAACCAGTTATGTGGATTTTATTTTTTAAAGCCAAACGCTAAACAAAAAGGGAGGTAAATTTAAAGACCTTGATTACATTCAACATAAAAATTCCTAGACTCAAACAATGTCCATTAATGAAATTTTATTTTTTGGCAGTTAACAATTTGCTGGAAAAATCATTTATGAAAACAAAGAAGACACTAAATAAGTTTGATGGCTATTGTTTTCTTCTTTTCAGTATGACCCACCTACAGAACATGTGCTTTTTGCATTTCTATGCTAAGGGAATATGTGTACATGCTATAAACGCAGGTTAATAGTCTCCCTCTCTCTCTCTCTCTCTCTGGGCTAAGATCTCTATACCTGATATGCACAGTCCCATTGTTGTAAGACCCCACCCCCAAAAAGGTCTATTACACACACTTACACCACACAACGAACAAGAGGAACATGTGGGAGGGGTGAAAGTGTCCTCCCTGTGAATTGTGGCAAAAGACAATACTTACATGCTGCTTTCTAACATGCCAGCCACATTGAATGTTAGGTTTCTGAAAATTGAACAAAACAGGAAACATTTGTTATTTCACATACAGCACAAGTTACATGTACATATCACCAGTCAAATATTGCATGTACCAGTACTTAAAACAATCAGTCAAAGCTAAATGGGTAATCCTTAATGACTTCAAGGATCAAGACCCATTTTGACTTTTGAGTTTTCTAAAGGAGTTTGAAAAGTTATTAAGAACTTCAACAAAATTTCTGAGTGACAATGTAAGAAACAAAAGTATTTTCTTGCCATTTAGTTTTTTTTCACATCTAGAAGCTTCTAACATTTTATCCATTGCAATGGCTGGAAAACATTACAGCATACAGTACATTATTTCATTTTGTGCTCAATATGCTTGTTAGTTATTGTGGCATGAAAGTTTTCCATTAACTCTTTTCTTATCACAAATGGTTTCCTGAAAACACTAATGATAGCCCATGAAAAATTATTTAAAAAAAAAAAAAAAAGGCATGTCCTTCTCTATTGCCTTGGATCTGTACAGTGTACATGGACAATGTATATTGTTCTATGTATATTGTCCAAAGTTCATTGGGTGGAAGAGCAACACTGCATAGCCATTGTGCTTGTTTTTATTTCATTAATTTGTAGAGACATTTCCTGTTTGAAACTTACACTGTTTTCAGTTTTTTGTATTCGTCTTTCATTGATTTTACTCTGGAATAAGAAGGATTGCTGAAACACAATTTTGCATGATTACTTTTGGACTTCGCCATACCTGGTCTTCTGGACGCACACAGCAAGTATGAGGAACACCACACTCCTCAGGAGAAGGCCCACCACATCTGAAGTAGCGATTGGTGTTCCAGTCATTAAGATCTGTGCTTCCACAACACTTGAACTGTCAAATTAAAATAGCCAAATCATACTGTATTACACATATATTCTAAGACATATTCTTATATGAACAATACATTTTGGAGTGTTTTATTGCCAAGTATTTTTATGAGTTAATTATGCTGTATTTTAACAAGCCTGTAGCGCAAGTCAAAATACAAACAACCAGTAAAAATACAAGGCAATACTACACACCAAAATGTCTAATACGTTTTTCATTTGCCAACTGCTTAATTTTCTGCTAATTTCTCATAATGCAGGAAAAGCAAGGCAGATAGAGAAGTGCACTGAATGCAGCCAATCAGTAGAACAGGATTTTTTTACAGTATAAAAATAACCAACTGTTCAATGTTGCAGGATATTTGCACTCTATTCGCAAATTATTTGTACTCTAATTTGTGCAGTTGGTAATGAAACACTACAGTAATACTTATCATAAACACAAACAATAATGCTAAAAATAAATTATAGCAGTATACATCTCTATACTACCAACTTCTATGTGAATATATTCAGCTGCCATTTACAATAGTTATTTTAATATGAAATAAAGAGTAAAAGGTTTACATGTATATTGATACTAAAAACCATTCTATTACAAACAAGCACAAGTACTTTGAATAAAGGCAATATAGGAGCAAATTTCTACACCTTATTACAACACATACCCCTCAAAATATCAATGGATCAAGGCCTAGCTTTTGACTTTGAACTGATCAAAGCTATAATAACATTCATTCTCAAGGTTATCACCGAGTGGAAGAAAGACCCCATGTATTTTATCAATGTGCAGTGCAGTTTCATTCATGTATTGCATCCAAGAGGGCAAAAATTTACAGACATATGTGAAGAAGAGTAGAATATACTTACACCCTCTTGGACAGCATCAATTGCATTCTGAAGGTCAGGATCATCTCTGTACTTCTCAATTGCTTTCTTAAATTGATTGTCCACAGATTTCTGAACCTGTTGTTTCAGGTATCAACATTAGTATTACAGTTTGTATTCATTGTTCATGTCAGCAATCTAATGCACATCATAGCAGTGTTCTCCCTTATTTTAAATACCACAGGTAAGAGAAATTTTCAAACCCTGACTAGAGAAATCCTTCTTCTTCTTAAGAATTCCAGGCAATTTTAGGTGGTAATAAGAGGTGCAACATGTAGTAGATTTTACTGATTAGCATCTCAAAGGAGAAGATTGAATGATGTAAATACCTATACATGTACTAGTTAAAAAAGGGATTAATTTCCCATATTCTTAAACCTTTATGCCCTGATATCAACATGTATATTCTAATCACTGTTCTCCATATGTTTTTCATTTTACTGATTGAGAGAATTTGTTCAAAGATCAAGACATTTCATCTTTGGTAAATTCACTTCACTCATTCTCGCAATCTGAAATTAGATGCTGGTCACTATTGGGGCTTAAAGGGTCAATATACAAAAATGGACACAGGTTGCACTTATATTGGTAAGTATATATTTACATGGTGCAATAAAGATTCCATGAAATGCATTCCGCATGACATGGTCTGCTCTCAACAGGCTGGTCAACATGGTGAGCTTAAAAAGGATATAGATTGTAAGACAGGATTTCACTGAATTACACTCTTTTCAAACAAAAGCTTTCAAAGAGAACTAAAAATGAGGATTTTTTTTCCAAAAATATTAATTCA